TGCCCGCGGCGACGGCCCGTCTCCAAGCTGGGGCGGGGGTGGAGCGATCTGAGGTGGCGGTCGTGGCGGCGGCGGAGTCGGCTGCGGGGCTCGGCTGGTGACGAGCCTGCGTCAGTCGCCCACGTCACGGCCGACTTCGGGTGCTCTTACCCCGTTCGCAACCAAAGCCTCTGAGGGTTGGACATCTCTCCACGAAAGACGATTCGATACGGTTCAAGGGTGTCACAATTTTAAAATCGAACCATTCAATTAGGTTCGATTCACTGGGATTACTTGAAGATGTAAATTGTCAGCAAAGCATAATCAACACTGGAAAAGCAAAGGCTGCAAAGTGCATGTGAATTGTTTTTTTAAATTTCAATAAGTTCACACAAATGGCAGCAGTGGTTCGCGCGTCGACCTCACAGTGCAGAGGTCGTGGGTTCGATCCCGGCTCCCGCCTTCCTGTGCGGTGTTTACATGTTCTCCCCCGTCCTGCGTGGGTTTTCTCCAGGTTCTCCGGTTTCCTCCCGCATTCCAAAAAACATGCACGGCATGCTGATCGAACACTCTATAAATTGTCCCCAGGTGTGAGTATGAGCACAGATGGCTGTACGTCTCTCTGTGCCCTGTGATTCGTTGGCAAGCGGTTCAGGGTGTCCCCCGCCTACTGCCCAAAGACGGCTGGGATAGGCTCCAGCACCTCCCGCGACCGTTGTCAGAATAAAGCGGATCGGAAAATGAGTGGATGGATGTTTACACGCATACAAACAACAAAATTGTGTCAAATTTTGATGAGTGGGGGAATAGCAATTTCTGTTTTGGAATATGGCTCTGACATAAGGTACGAAACGTGAAGTGCCATGAATGATTCCCTCATGCACTGTTTATTGCCAACGGCAGGTCACAAGCAAGCTTTTTTTGTGACTCCCATACAAAATGAACACACCAAATCTATTCTTAGTTTTCAATTTAATATATATAGATATAAATACATTTGTATAGCTTGCTTTTGATTTTGGCTTGGACGCAAAGAAGTAAGCTGATGCAGGCACAGAAATGACAAGACAAGAGTGAATGAAGAGAAGACAAAGGAAAATAAAACAGCTGCAGGATGCGACCAGGATGATTTACAGTAAGTACACCATTTGTTCTTCGTTTGATGGCCACAATTCAACAATTAAACACTCAAGTTTCCTCTCAGGCACTTTTATGCACGTAGAAATAACGAAAGGCATATTTGGGCTACATTTTCAATCGAAAGGTAAAAAATAGACCGTCTGTAATGGTGCGTACACTATTTTAGGTGTACGGGAAACGGTAAAAAAAATTGCTTAACTCATTACAGAGAAATGCTTTTTCTTGCTTTACAAAACGCTGACGCGGCAACTCATGTTGCTGGGATGAGACCTGCTTTGAGCATATCGCTGCCACCGGGTCAAAAGCGCCCATGTCACAATTTGGCCAATTTCATACTTTTCAGTGATTTCAGCGGGTGCTGTTTTTATAAAATATTGACCAAAGTGTAGAAAATGGCTTGCTCTCTTTGAGGATGTGATTTAAACCCTTGGGTTGAGCAAACATGCCGTTTTGGGGGCGGGGGGTCTCCTTAAAAGTGATGATTTTTGAGGTACAAGGAACTATTCAGATCCAAATAAAACCTGTCGATACCCTCCACAGGTTATTCAGTCACGTGTTCCGTCCATGATTACAGTCGACATGTACAATATACCGTATATTAATAGAAAAAAAATTTCAACAAGAAAAATAACTGCTGTTGGATTGTAGTGGTGACGGCGCTCGATGCTGCGGTAAGGAAAAAGAGCTTAAGGCAACATCCCGGGGGTAAAAAGTCTGCTTTTTTTTTTCTTTACTTGTCTTGCATTTTCTCCAAAATAGGCACAATCATGTCAAACTTCGGCCTCTTGGCCGGGTCCTCGTTCATGCAGATCTTCATCAACTTGCAGATGTGCGGCGAGATGCCGGGAGGAATGGTGGGCCTCAAGCCCTCCAAGGCAACCTGAAAGGAAAACCGGAACGTTATCAACATCGACCGGGGTCGTAGAGACTCGTCGCCAAATCGACGAGACCGCTCGACAATGACGTTTGGAGCGTGGCAGCAATCAGTCGCTAATCAGGTAGGAGGAAGCAGAGGATCTTCTTGCAGCGGACTTAAGTGGGAGGGAAAAACTCTTTCTCCTGGCGATCTTTGCTGACCTTCATGCCGATTTCCATGTTGGAGAGGTCCGCGAAGGGCACCTCCCTGGTCACCAGCTCCCACAGCAGCACGGCGAAGCTCCACATGTCCGCCGACCGCCGGTTGATCTCCTCTGGCTTCTTCTGCAGGGCTGCAAGCGATCGATCGGGCAAGAAATCAGAGCCAGTGTGCAGGCGGACCCGATGTTATCACTCATTCCACGTCTGGTCATGTACGAGTACACATTTAGCCCCGTTTACATATGCAATCATGGAAAGCACCACCTCTGCCTCAATTTCAGACAAGAAAATCGGTGCAAAGCTTGCGATTTCACTTCCGCGGTTCACAAGCTGACAAATCTGGTGCCGCGCTGGTCTAGATGCTCTTTATGAAGAAGGCCTGCACCGTTTCCACTTTCTTTCTAATCAGTTTAGACAAGACATCTCTGGAGGACGTCTTCGGGGGGGGGGATTCCATTTTGCTTGCTCCCGCAAAGTGATCATTCGTGCTCCAGATGTCACTTTGGATGTGCGTGTGCTGCATCACGTACCCTCGGGGGCCACCCAAGCAGGCGAGTACATCCTGCCAGGACACTGAAAGGAGAACTTGACGTCTGCCATGCTGATCCTGGCTGTCATGTCTTCATCGATCTGTAGGGGGGAGGAGAGGGGGAGAACAAGATGTCACTGCTGAGTGAAAGGGACATGAGGATGGGCTTTTTGGACACCATGGGATGCACAACCCAAGTTGTTGTGAATGGCTTCCAAAAAGTATCCTTTGAAACAGATTTCAAAGTGATGGCCTCAAAAACGCAACATAGCGGGTGGCACGAACGTGGAAGCACATTATCGCGGGGGGACACGGTAGTTCCAAGCTGCGTCTGTGAAAGCCTCAAAAAGAAGTCTTCTCACCATGATGCTCTTGCTGTTCAGATAGTGTCGAGGGATCATGGGCTCCAACGTGTGCAAGAAGGCCATTCCGCAGGCGATGTCCAAAGCGAACTTGACCGCTTTCGTCTGGTCCACCACAAAGTCTGGCGGCGGCGGCGACACGGCGACGTCAAGGAAAGGTCATTCGGATCGCGGGCGCTGGTGTGACGGCAAAGTACTCACTGGTGCCCTCGTGCAGCACGTTGTAGAGGGAGCCGTACGGCATCCAGTGTGTGATGATGATGGGGTGAGGGGCCGGCGGAGACTGACAGGCTCCCAACATGGGGAGGACGTTCGGGTGGGAAAATATCCTGGGATGGTGACAAGGAGGACAACGACATAGGACAGCCGGCATCAACCAGGAGTGTGAGACGCAAACACAGAATCAAACTTTTGGGGCCTCAAACATAACCAGGTCATGGTTTCCGGTTCCCGCCACAGATAGTCACTTTCTCTCTGCCACCCGGAAGGACCACGGCGCCCGTGGCCGACAGTTTCCAACCGGCCTCCGCAGCGCAAATCGGCCAAACGGCCATCACAAGAGTAGCGCAATGGCGTGTCGGATCAGCACCTGAGTTTGGGGTACTCCTCGTTGAAGTCCCTGCTTTTCCGCGTGGTCCAGTCGCGGACCTTCAGCACTTTGACCACAATCTCGTTGCCTTGCCAGCGGCCTTGCCATAACTGCACGCCATCAAGGACACGGTACAAAGGTTACGGACATAGTGCAGGTACAGTGAAACCCCGCCTGGTTACCATTTCCTGAGAAAGGCACCTTGAGTAATTCTATATTTGCGTTCTCTTCCTGTAACAGGAAAAGATGGCTCCAAAGTGCAACGGGGCCAAACTGCGGCCCGGGGGCGGCCTCCATTTTTTAGCAGCCCCTGACATGATCCCCAAAAATGAAGAAATTATTGTACTAAAAATGACCTTTGGCATGGGCCGCAAAAGGAAGGTGAAGGTGGGCAAGGTGAGAAGGCAGGCGGTCAAAAGTGAAGAGGGCGTGCACATTTGCGCAACCACGTCCTCGGTTGTTTGCATTTGCTTTTCGTCTCAAGTTGCACACGCTGGTGTACGACGGGGTTGGACACATGAAGACGTGTCAATGATTTCACTCGATCTCATCTTTTGATATGGCAAAGTCCGTCCGTCATTGACGCCTTTCTCATTGGTTTTGATTTCGTTTTGAAAAGATACTCAAATGTTTGGTGATTCTACTTGGCGAATTGCGAGGCTTCACTGTACAATCGACGGCATGGCGTGGTGACTGGTTCTTCACGTACCTCTCCAGACTGGTTCTCATTGATTCGGGCCAGGAGCGAGAGCTGCTTATAGTCGATGCCTGCGTGTTTGTTCAAAGTACCGTTGCCTAGAAACAGAAGAAAGAAATAAAATGTCTCGTGTGACAATTTACAGACAAATGTCGAACATCTTTAAACCCACCACGAAATAGTTGAGCAATAAAGTATCATTTCATTTAACTTGCTAAGACATGCTGTGTCAAGCCTGGGAGCTCTGAAATTTGAAAACAAGCATGTCTACTGTCTAAGATAAACAAAAACCTTTAACATGCTGCAAATTCCTAAAAAGCGTTTTGTTTTGTTTTTTTTAATGCTTAAAGGGCACTTAAAGTGTTGAGTTTATATTCAACGTTTTCTCTGCATTATTTTCCTATTATCAGTAGCTCTGGATTTGAAAAGAAAGTTAAAAAAATAAAAGGTTTCTAATGTGTAATTAATCTCCGCGCTAGAGTATTTGCACATGTGTCTAACTGTTCAATAATCGTCTGAAAGTGCTTCGGGAACTGCGGTTCTCGTTGCCCAAATGCGACTGCATTTTTTTTCCCCCTTTCACTCAAGTCGTGATGTACTTGACGCTCACGCGGAATTACAATTTGAACTCGTAACAAAGCAATTAAAATGTATACACACACACACACACACACAACAAAGACCAAGTAGCTCTCGCAACGCGCTCTACTCACGGGGTCGTGTTCTGGTGGTGCCTTTCCAAAAGGTGTCTTTGAAGGGGATTTTGGTCAAATTCTGTCCCATTTTCTCAGCTTTTTCTACACCACAAAAGAAAAAAAAAATGAACACAGAACGGGCTGGGAAATAGTAAGCAACGGGGCAGACAGGATACCTTTGAGAAGCTCTTGCAAGTGAGGTTTGGCTTTGTCCAGGGGCGTTTCCCCATATTTGTTACAGATGCTCACCTGAGCCCCGTTGTTCACAAGGTCCTGCCGGGGTGGACAAGAAGCAAAACATTGTGGCAAGGGAGCAGTTGGACAAGTTGAACTTCAAGGCCACCGGGGGGCGCACTAACCTCTGCCACCAGGTCTTGTCCCCAGAAGCAGGCGTAATGCAGTGGCGTGTTCCCGTGTTCGTTGGCTGCGTTGGTGTCCGCTTTGCACTGAATCAGCTACAAAAGCGCCAAACAAAGGATGAGACGCCAGAGACGGCCGCTGTGCTTTGTTTGGGCTGAAGGCAGCGCGTGTGCAGAAAATATTCCCAACGTTGCGGCTTGTCTTGAGACATGCCAATATGAAACCGCGTATCTGGCAGGCGACGTTTCTAATTCCGACACCCCGCTCATACCATCCGAGGCTAACAAGCGCTGCCAACAATACCGACACCCGACAGATTACGACAGGTTTATGGGGTGTGTTGCAACGGCCGAGTTCGCAGTGTTCTGCAATAAATCTCTGTGGATGCCATTTAAACAAAAAACAAAACAAAAAAGAGATCCCAAACATGTGACCCCCCACCCAAATAAAATAAATAAAAATACAAATGGTAAAGTTCTTGGATGTTCTTTGCTGTCAACGGGACAAGACGGTCGGATGAGTCAACGTGCACGCGTGACCCTCTTTCCCCCCCCCCCCCAGTACCTTTCCCACAATGTCGCGATGTCCGTGGCTGGAGGCCAAGTGCAGGGGCGTGTCATCCCCGCGGTTCATGACGTTGATGCGGGCGCCGCGCATGATGAGCATGTCCACCACGCTGCAGCGGCCCTCCCGACACGCCCAGTGCAGAGGGCTGAAGCCGTGGTCGTCCCTGCAAAGTCACAATGGGAGTTCAACGTGGCTTTCGGTGTCATTTCCATTTGGGATTGTCATGATCAAACGATAAGTGGAGATCACAAAATGACTGCACCGCTGCGTGTAAATTGGACCAGCTGCCACTTAGGACTGATAGAATGGGTCGTGTCAAGGGTATCAATCGTCCTGCGTATCAATTCCACCCTTGTGTCAAGTCAGTCTGCGTCAACTTGGCCCATGCACCAATGACACCTGCATGACTGTAAATTTCCCCAGTGTGGGACGAATAAAGGATATCTTCTATCAATTCAGTCCTTGCATCAAGCGGGCCTGTCGTTTGCGTGCATCAAGTTGGCCCGTATGTCAAATCGTCGCCTACGTCAAAGTGGCCCGTGGGTCAACTTGAAGGACAGCGAAAGCTCTATCGGCTTGATGTGAATGTGTTATTTGTCTTCATTCTTCTGTTGGCTTTGCACGTCTCCTCTATCAAGTCTCACACGCCCACACACACCAACCCCAGAGAGAACTGAAGGAGCATTATGACGGAATCTCAATTCCACCCCCCGGCTGTTCCATTGGCTTGTGGCAACACGTCCTGCGTGGTTGAGTCGAGGTCCCGCACAGACCCTCTCAGTCCCACGACACCGTCTATCTGTGCATCGCGTGGGAGGAGGGTCATTTCCTGTCTGAGCATAAGGCCAAACCCGAAAAACTCATTAGCTCACATTTATGATCCCCCAGAAGGAAGTCTGATGCTTCTGGAAGTAAGATCTTGACTGCTGACAAAAATGGCGCCCTTAAGGAGATTTGAGTGGAGACCACCGCCACCGAGGACTAAGCATTCTTCAGAGCCCTCTTTGGCCAGTGTTCCGAGCATGTAGGCCCATGTGTCAACTCTCCGCCACGTTTCAAGTTTCAGCCCGTGTCAAGTATGCCCATGTGTCATTTCAGTTTGCGTGTCACGTCAGAGGAGGCGTGAAGACAACACAAGCATCAAGTTAGCCCACGTGTCAACGAGGCTTGCCCGTGTGTCCGCTTGGCCCACGTGTCAAGGTGTCTCATCCGTGTGTCAAGTCCCATCCTGTGTTCCATCAATTCAGCGTTAGCATGCGTGTCAACTTGTCCAATCTCTCCATTTCTCTTGTCCATGCGTCATGTCACTTTTTTCATGTAGATTCGTCAATGTGGCCCTTTGGCGTTTCATGTTGGCTTTGTGTCAGGGGTCCACCCGTGTGTCAATGACACCATTCCTCAAATCAGCCCGTGCGTCAATTTCAGGCAAATCGGACCACATATCAAGTCAGGGCCACGCATCAAGTCCATTCATGCCAACCTGTTTTTAAAAAGTTTTAAAAATGAACACCACCACTTTCTTACTCCTGTTAGCATGAACGCACCAATAAATTGAAGAATGGCACTTTCAGGCGCTCCAGTTTCCCATGTCTATTTCCAGTGTGGCAAGCTTTTCGGGATACATTTTCCCTTTGAGTTAGACTTGGTTGGCCCCCCCCCCCCCCCCCCAGTCGAAGCCCCTCCCGGCCCGCTGCGGTCATTTATTTCAGGCGCTTCCACCTGCCAGCAGGCCTCAGTCTGGCAGATGCAATAGAAAAGAAGCGTCAAGAGCAGCTCTTCAAAGGGGTCGCTCGAATCCGAGGAGGTGAGCGCCACTTGACGAGAAAGGGGATGACTCATCCCATTTTACAATAAACTAAATCATCAGATCCCCCGAGACGACGATGCACCAGTTCCTAAAGGCTTTCATTCATATAAAGTGTCAGCGGAAGTTACGGCAACCACTAAATGTCCACTTGCCGCCGCACTGCCAAAGGGAGTTCTAAATAAAAATCAGCAATCACCCAGTAAACCTCCCACCTTCCCAAACAAGGAGCTGTCACGCAGCACAGCTCAGCCTGCGCGGCTACCGGCGCTAGCTTTTCAGCTAAATAAAGACAACGATTGAAGCGCTAAGCCCAAGGAAAGCACAAGAAGGCCGAGCGCTTGTTTGAAGAAAACCGTTTGGGAAATGAGGCGGCGAGGGCAAGTTCAACCTTCAAGTGCAGCAGCTGAAGATTTGAGAGCAATCTAAACGAGAGGAGCAGTCTTCCAACCAGCAGAATAAAGAGGAATGTCGGAAAAGAAACCATTGGAAGGGGGGTTGAGTGGGGTTGATGCACATTCCACGCACACTTGTCTGTCTGGCCAAACACGACTTGGACAGCGGAACCCGCTACGGTCGTCCTGCCGAATGGGAGTGCGAGTGGATTTGCCCCAGTGTTATTCCTTGTAAGGAGATTCGGCGGCCACGCTTTCCCGGGAAGGTTGCGGCGGCGTAAACAATCCAGAAGGACGCAAAGTATTTCATGCAAAGAAGTGACGTGGAAGGTCAAACACAATCCCAAGTTTACACTTGGGGGGACAAACTGGACCTGGCAATTTAGCAGCCTCTTTACTTTGACGGGATGGGAGACAATCGCTTTCAACGTAAAAGTGTCACGGACAGTGAGGTGACAGAACCGGACATGCAGGACAAGTGAAAAAAAAAAAAAAAAAAAAAAAAAAAAAATGTGGCTTTTGATGAATTGGAACTTAGCGGCTTCAGTGCCATATTGACTTTCCACAAAATGTCTTCAATTTAGAGCGAAGCAGTGTCACTTCATTTTTTTTTTTTTAACTCTCTCAACATGCACCCGTTTCTTTTCATCTGCTAGTCAGGGAACCGCTTCTCCGATTGGATGACAAGTTTCAAGTACCGTATTTTCACAACCATGCGGCGCACCGTATTAAAAGGCATAGTGACACTTACAGGTGCTAATTCTGTATTTAACACTGAAGACGCATTGCGTTATTGAACGCAGACATGGTAAAACGTACACTTGCTTAAAAAAAAAAAATAAAAAAACGGGAGCACGTAACGATGTACTTGCGTTATTTTTTTGATCAAGCCTCATCCTCAAATCCGTCAAAGTCCTCATCTTTTGCCTCTAAAGTCAACACCTGGGCAAATTCACCTTCTTCTCTACAGCGGGGGTCACTGGGATGTTGAAAGTGAACGGCACCCTCCCCATGTTGGTGATGTGGTTGGGCCGGATGTGTTTGTCGGTAACCTTTTTGGTGTATTTCAAAATGCAAAGTATGCCTGTCACTCAACATTTTGCCCAAATGGGTATGTACGAATGTGGGGATGGGTTGAGAGAACGGTCGCGAAGGGAAGCCAACAGATTGGCAGAATAAAGAATTCAAATATCAGTAGACATCCACCGTATCCAACACGTGACAGAAAAGTGATCTGCGCTCCTCTTCTTCCCACTCAAGGCGATAAATCAGCCAGCCTGGGGAGAAAGGAGCTCGACGTGCTCATTTAGCTAATGGAATCGTCCGAACGCGTACCCGGTCGGCTGCTGCGGACGCCATTTGGCCGCTTGAAGCCGTTGCCAAGTCCTCACTGCGTCAGTTTCCCGCAACGCCGTCCACTGTCTCCGCGACGGTCACGGCGAGCTTCCCGTGCTGGCACCGCGCTTTGTGGAAGGGAATTCCCGACCTATAAACACGCGCTTCCGAGGAAGTGGGTTCAATCTCGGGCCAGAGGCCCACTGGGGACAAACTAAGAGTCAGTTGCTGCTGTGCAAACGCTAAGTCGGCGGAGGGACCGTCTTGATGTTCGCGTAATATTTTCAACCTTGGGCAGTGCCCGTAAAAGTCGCCCCCACCCCATCTTGATGTGTATGAACGGCCCCAGCGTAACACAGTGAGAGAGCAAAGCCAACCTGTCAGCAGCATCTTTTATCGCTGTTTTGTATAGAAGGAGCTGATAGAAAAAGCGGATAAAGTGGACGTGCGGCGCAAAGCCAGCCCATCACCCATCAGCCCCCCAACTTCAGTGGTCGAAGACCCTTGGACACATCAGGGAAAATCCATCAGGATTGTCATTGTCTGTTTGTATAAACTGTGCAGATTGAATCTGGGGACAAAGTGGATCCGACAATTTTCCAACTTCAATGACAACTCAGCAATTTACCACTTGGAGGGGGTCTTAGCCCATTTTAACACCGCATATACAATGCAGCTTTTTTCGTTCCTATTTTCCACAGCAGTTCAATTTCATGTGAACGGCATCGAAACCATCCATTTTACACCTAAGGAGGAAGTCGTCCCCTTTCAACCGCCTACAGCCAAAAGGCATCTCACCCTTGGTTGAGGTCATTTTCCGTGTTGTCCAGCCAGAGGCGCACGGCCACCGCATTGCCCTCTCGACACTGCGTGAAGATGTCGTCCATTTTGGCACGTTAACCTGAGTGACACGACGCGGAGCTGAAGCAGCAAGACTGAGGTTTCATCTGTCCCTCACCGGGGCCAGTGAGGGACACGATCGCTGATCCTCGGGGGGGAGGGCACTTGCACCGGTCTGAAATGGAAAATATTGAAAGAACAGTGTTGGAAAACGTGCTGATCGTTGGGCCGGCCCAGATGGCTTTCAAATTAAATTGAGAGTTCTAGCATTCCCCCTTCAGGAGGCAAATGACATTATTCATGTGAAAATGTATGTTTCTTATCCCAAGTTGGCACATGATGATGATGACAGCCCAAGTCACTAATTTTACTTTTGGATTTAGCTTCTAAGTACTTTACCACAGCTTCTTCCAGATATAGAGCTCATTCAAAGGGCGACACAGGAACATGTGCATAGCTTTAAACTCGTTCAATCATTTCTAATGACGTGACCTACTCGAGAGCAAAACAGATTCTTTTGAGGCGCTTGAGGGGCATCTTTAAGCAAATGGCATTTTCGATCACTTCAATAAGGGAGTGCAGTATTATCCGACACCGTCTGCTGGTCATTTAGGGCCATTTGCAAACAAATTCAAGCAAATATTTGCAAGTCGTTGCTCCCTCAAAGTGAGGAATTGCTGTTGTTTGCATGCGACACCAACTTAAATGTGCTCAACTTCATCCTTCAAGGATAATAACTAACACATCTTGTAGTATTAGGGGCAGATTATTAGGAGTGCGGTGCCATTTGCGCTAACGTGACCCAAGTGCCTTGACGATTGATTTGTATTGAACATGGAAACACTTCCGCGACACTGTAATACGAGTAAAGAATACCTGAATGAGTTCAAATCGTCAAAAAAATTTAAATACGAAGGTTACGTTTGATAAACCATTTTGTCTGGTAGCAACGGCTGCTAACGCGCTAAAACACGATTGGGGTGGGGGGGGAGCAAACTTGTTGATTTCCACGCAACGCGGCCATAACACAGCGCGCTCTCCTCAAAAGGGGAAGCAGCCAACACAACACTCAAGTAAAGAGGAACTAAAATTTCAGACATTTGGGAACCGAGCTAGCTAACCTCCATTCTGGACGGTCCGTTTCTCTCATCGTCAATTGTAGCGCAGTGACAAAAGTCGGCGTCGGTTCGCCATTTAACAACCGCGACTTGCGACCTCGTGTCACCAAAACATCCGCGAGATGACCTTACCGAATGAAAAGGCGTGAAAGGAGGCCTCCGGAGAACTTTCTCGCGGTGCTGTTCGGCGCTTCGGGGAGACGAAACGGTGCCGAGCCGACTGCCTACGTCCACACCCTCACGCAAGGGAGGGCGTACTACTCGGCCCCGGCAGCCGGATAAGAGACTGCGCCCCTTACAGACCATAGGGAGCATCGCATCAAATAACATACCCTGAGGGGATGGATTCTTTTCAGATAGGTCGATGTGTCCGAAAGTCCACCCTTATCTCCCACACTTAAAACCTCTTTCGCAATATAGTTTCGCACGACATGTAGCGCTTTCATAGTGGTTCCCTCAGCCTTTTTGGCGATGGCGATTCGGACAGCCAGCTCACTGCATTGTCCTCGTCGCAGAGCACGTGACCACCATACCTGTCATGACGCACCGGCACATTAAGATCTCCGACTCTATATTGTGGATTTAAAAATAAATATTTTTTAATCTGTACTTGTTTTACTTTGTCATGTGTATTTTCAATTCTATAAAACGAATGCATTATTTCTGTGGCGTGGACTGTCTGTACACTTGCGCCATTTTGTTCCTACTCGCAATGCATTGTGGTCCATACTAACATGTTGAACATCAATACTGATTCATTTTCCAAGTGCACAGTGGGTGCCCTTCGCGTTTACTCCATGGACATTCGGACACCCCGACAAAAAAAATCAGTTTCCATCTAACTTCCTCACAACAGAGTTCAGCTCATGAGTCTTCATGTGCTCCGTTTCAACGAAGGGTTTAATTGAAAAATCCAGAATGATTTACAGCATTTAGTTATGCAAAGTAATTTCTACCGGAGATCACACCATACTAATGTTTTGTACATTTGAAATGAAAAAAAGTCGAGCGGAGACGCTTTTTCCCCCCGACGTCATCAACACGCGCCGGTTAACTGTTCCGCTTCGTCCACGCGCATGCACGCTGAACGAAATACTGTACGTGGTATTTCTGCAAAAGATTATACTTAACTACATTTGGAGATAAGCTTGCCGTTTTCGTCACCCATCGTCGCTATTCGACACGCCGTCGGCTGGTGAGTAAATTAGAGCTGAATTTGGGTGTAGTACCGGTATTTATCGTAAAATCCATCCATGCTTCGGTGATCTACAGAGTTTGCGGGGGAGTATGTTTCACGAGGACGAAGATTGGAATGACGCCGCCGACGTCTTAAGTCAAATTGTTGTGAAACAGAAGCCAAACAGTCACAGCACCGATGTGAAGGTATGTCATATGTGTGGGTAGTTTGCTCAACGATCACGTGTTCGATTCGCACACCCCCAAAATATTCAGCATCGCAATTACAGAATTATACACATTTATTAGAACAGAGGCCGAGACATTTATTTACTGAAATGCAAAACGTACCAGGCATTTCTCACAGCCTTAGTTTGTAGTGGCCAACATGTATGTTTCCCAGATGGGAGTGTCAGTCGTGTTCAATTGTCATTGAAGCCCCGCCCATTGTCGCACTACCTATTATTGCTTACCTGAGGGGAAATGGGGAGGAAGGGGGTGTCTATTTGGGGTTACAGTCGCCACCCCCATCGCATTTTCCTTTCTGCTTAGTCCAAACATGTGGGAAAGAAGAGTCTCCTGCGGACGCTACAGACTTTGGAATCGATACCAGACTGGAAGCGCGACGACCAGCTTCGGCCTGACAGCGACAGCGAAGCCGCCACGCCGGACACCACCAAGAAGAAGAAAAAGAAGAAAAAGAGGAGGAGGACAAAACAAGCCAGTATGACAACGGCAGAGCAGGAGAACAACACTGAGGTCAAGGAAGAGAAAACTGTAGCCAAGAAGAAAATGGAAAAGACAAGTGGTGAGTATTGGAATTTTGTGATTGGGAATTTTCCCCTACGTATTGGAAAAGAGAAACGTCTATTGTGGCTCTAAACTTTCAGAAAATTGGATTTTCCAGTACATCTCATTTATTTTTCTGTATAGTGAGTCATATTTCAAATATGACTGGGGCTTAAAATCTTGGCTTGGTTATTTGTTTATTGTGAAAATACTTTTGTTGTCATCGTTGAGTCACTGCTTAGTATCAGCATGTTATCATCAATGCCACGCGGCCGTTTCCGAAATTCTATGCTAAAAACGCCCTCCTGTTATCCTCAGTTATGCCAATGAGGTGTTTTCATGCAATAAAGCGCACAAATTTCAATACTTTTGGAGGTGCGCATACATAATGGAAAGATTTCTTTTGGAAGGTGTCCCGAAGAGCAAAAGCGCATCTGCCGGTGAGGGGGAGGGCAAAGCGAGCCCGCAGCAGCCGGCCGGCGATGTCCCGAAGGTCAGCAGGCAGCAGTGGAAAAACAAAATGAAGAACAAGCGGAAATGCAAAAATAAATACCGGCAGAATAAAGCTCAAGAAGACGTCGGGAAGGACGATAAAACTCTGCCGACGACGCCTTCACACATCAACAGCGGCAAGCCGGTCCTAGCGCCAGACAAGCAAACGCTGCCGCAGAAAAGAAAAAAAACAGACGAGGACGTCAACACGGGGACGTCGGCTATTAAATGCGCCAAGAAGGAAAGGGACGAAACCGTCAACGGGTCATCGCGGGCCTCCGAGACGCTCGGGCAAAAAGTGGAGCTTCTGAAACGCCAACGCCTCCGGAAGCTTCTCCGGTCGACCGGTCCCGAGGAGCCCGTTTCGGAGGAGCCCCCCCGAGAAGCCGTTTCGGAGGAGGCCCCCCGGGAAGCCGTTTCCGGGGAGGCCAAGGACGCTACGGGGGACCGCTCGAGTCGTTTGCGCTTGCGCGTGGAGCGGCGCCTGGAAGCGGCCCGCTTCCGCTACATCAACCAGTTGCTGTACAGCAGCAGCAGCGGCGAGGCCAAGCGCATGTTCCAGCAGGACCCGCAGGCCTTCCAGATCTACCACAGGGGCTTCACGGAGCAGGTGCGCCACTGGCCCGCCAACCCCGTGGACGCCATCATCGCCTACATCCACAAGAAGTGAGACGTCCTCCTTTCCGTTGCACACGCAGCATGTTGGCTACTTATTGCTTACATGACATACATGACGCTGTCGCTTCACCCTTCGCCGCAGCCGTCGCTGCTTCCCGTCTTAAAAACAGTCACACTCGGAACCCAAATCTGTTTTTAAGACGCGTCACAAAGAAGCAGTGACGGCTCCGACGAAGGCTGAAGTGACGGCCGAAGTTCTCAGCGAGGTACGAGTTCTTTTCGTCACCAAAAAAGGCCATCGTCGGGAGAAAAAGAAACCTTCAACCTAACTGTATGGACATGATTGAAAAAAACAAACGCAGCCTCATCAAAGTCTATCGAGTGGGTGTCCAAAGCCTACTCTGATGACTGACATTCACTTTTTTTGGCAAGCAGTTCAGGTAATATTTGTATCCCCCCCCCCTCCCCCCGTGTGTTGTTTCAGACCGTCCTCGCTGGTGGTGGCCGACTTCGGCTGCGGCGACTGCAAGATCGCACTCAGCGTCAAGAACAAAGTGCACAGCTTCGACTTGGTGGCGACTTGCGACCTGGTGACGGTCTGCGACATGGCCCATGTGCGTTTCTATTGGTGCGTGCCTCCTCGCCAAAGTGCTCTCGCCGACAATCTCCGTCCGCCTCCTCCCTGCAGGTGCCGCTGCCGGACAGGTCGGTGGACATTGGCGTCTTCTGCCTGTCGCTGATGGGAACCAATCTGGCGGCTTTCCTCGTCGAGGCCAACCGGGTCTTGAAAAAGGGGTAAACTCATTCATTCAAATCACTTGGCGCTTTAATCGAGAAAACCCAAAAAAAAAAGAAATAGCTGCGCGGTGGAGTAAGCGGTTAAGACGGGTGGCGGAGTCACAATTGTGGCTGCTGCGGGCTCATTTGGTTTTTCACACCTCCCTACTTTTGTGTGCGCAGCGGTGGCCGCAGAAACAAGTTTCATTCCTTCCTTGATCACACTCGTCACTCAAATCTGATACTTGCAAAGAATGGAAATGTTATGAATTGATTACACAAAGGGGGGAAAAAAATCAGTGTGACCGTCACGTGCCAAGTTTCACATTTTCATGTGATACATTTTTACGTGATACGATTCACATTCCGTCATAAACTTCACATTTTACCGTGAGAAATTTCCGTGAGTGTTCTTTGCAGAGGATAAAGAATATGGGAATATTTACTCATTCTATTGACGCTGCCAGCAGACCCAGCTGGGGTGTGTCAGGCTTGCACTCGCGAGTCGAAAAACAATTGTAATTGTGGTCACTCGAATCTCAGTGGCTCTCTGTATTTGTTATTTTTTTTAGGGGCGTGCTGAAAATCGCGGAGGTAGCGAGCAGGTTCGACAACGTGCGTAACTTTCTCACGGGGCTGGCCAAATTGGGATTCAAGTTGGAGTCCAAGGTGAGAGCACAAGTCACTTAATTAGGCACATGTGAAATGAGGCACAAAACGTTTTGTTTTATTTCCACAGTTGATCAAATTTTCAATTGAAGTTACAATAAATGAATACGTCTTTTTAATCAAATGAATTTTTGTTTGAATTTGCTGATATTTTCATTATGTTGGCCATAAATAAATGGCCCAACGATTGAATACATGTTCAAGTTTCCATCCAATCAGACATTTTGATTTAGAAAACGACTGAGAAAAATTATCGTTCACTCTCTTTAAGGTATGCAAAAAAATGGCGAGTGTTTATTTTATTTTGCCACGTTTACAATTGACAAATGCACCCCAAAACTAATTTCAAGCAATTATTTCTTGAGCTAACTGAATAAAACAAAGAAGACCCACGAAGGAGCCGTTTGTCATGTTGTGTTTGCGCTCTCCTTTAGGACACGGAGAACACACATTTCTACACGTTCGACCTCACCAAGACGAGCGATGCGCCAGAAAAAGTGAAGAATTTCGGCTTGCAGCTGAAGGCCTGCTTGTACAAGAAGAGATGACGTGAAAAATTAACTGCAAAGTATTCGCTTGGACCGCTGCACCGTTGTTGAAAAATGCGTTTGTGATTTGTTATCTTGACTGGCTGCTTTTGTTTCCAATTCCTTCCAATATGGAAAATTGTATCATATGTAAAATACTGTGGGGGGGGGGGGGGGCAACATTAAACATTTTGACGAGAATGAAGTCTTATTCTCTTGGAAGCGGATTTTCTCGGGGGGTGTCACTAGCCATGTCAAACTATATTTTCAATGATAATAAGGACAAGTGAATGGATAATCAATCTAACTGATTTCCGAACCGGTGCAGAGCTTTTTTTTCTTATTGCTGCACTTGTCAGCATTCGCCCCAAGGGGGCGCGCTAACACTGATTCAATTCAATCAGACAAATGGAACCCGACAGTGTTGTACTGAATAAATACAAACTAACAACGCAACGAAGGTTTTTTTTTTTTTGTCTAAATGGCTCTATTTTCCCCCATTCGCCCCAAGGGGGCGCGCTAACACTGATTCAATAAGAACAATGGAACCCGACAGTGTCGTCCTGTATAAAAACAAACTACAACGTAACGAAGGGTTGTTGTTTTTTTTTGTCTTAATGGCTCTATTCCCCCCCCCCCTTTTTTTGCCACCCTTTCCTCCCTCTCTTGCACATCCTGGATTTGAATGGCGGGCGGTGCGACGCGAGGCCCACAATGTGCTCCTCATCAACACCGCGGAGCGATGCGGCGTGGCCGCGTGGAAAGTTGTGCGAAGCGCAAACCGTCAAGCGGCTCGCGCACGTCCCACATCAAATGACTCACTCGTTTTCTTTCCAACGGGAAAATGAACAAAAGATGGACCTCTTTATATTGCGAGGCCAAAGGCGGATGGAATTTCTTGCACAGGAATGGCATCCAAATATGTCATCTTTTTTTTTTTTTGCCAAACTAACTCTGGCTGAACTGAACCCAACCCTTGGGCCGAACCCCAACAGTCGCGCGCAGCCTTAACTTCAAGACAGACCCCCCCCCCCCCCCCGAATCCGTCACCCTGTGCTCGACTAGCGAGAAATTAGCTCCGCTTTAGAATAACATGACACAGGTCAAAGTAGAAATCCTCCAAATAATTTGAGTACAAAGTACTGGCATATTATTGGCATGTAAACTTGAGTTCTATTTTTATGATTTAGATCAGGGGTCCCCAACCTTTTTTGCCCCACGGACCGGTTTATGTCAGACAATATTTTCAGGGACCGGCATTTAAGGTGTGGCGGATAAATACTTCAAAATAATATAGTAAGAGCTGCTTTCGAGAGATAATAATAAACACGAGGAGCGTCTAATCTGGCCGCAACACTCTGATCGCTCTGGTAATGTTAAATGCCTTCAAAATACGATACAACGCAAATTCAAAGTGCATGAAAATGACGACTCACCACAGCCCCGAGCTTGATTTTCTGCAACCAGACGGTCCCATCTCGGGGTAATAGGAGACAATGACACCTCAAGTGTGTGCTTTATGTCCAGTCTTCTTCGTGATTTTGTTTTAGTCGCCGTGGCTGCACAAAACCTCACACAGGTAGCATGTCGGAAATAGCAACAGTGCTATTGTGGCGATCTCATATTCAGCCATAACTTGAATCCAGAACACCGGCAGAGTTGTTGTCTCGAACGTACTTTTAACGCCGCCGTCGTTTGCGATCTCCAGCAGTTTATTTTACTCATTCAGCAAGCTCTGGCGTTTCTAGTCGCCGTGGCTGCACAAAACCTCACACAGGTAGCATGTCGGAAATAGCAACAGTGCTATTGTGGCGATCTCAAGAGTATTCAGCCATAACTTGAATCCAGAACACCGGCAGAGTTGTTGTCTCGAACGTAATTTTAAGGCCACCGTCATTTGCGAGCTCCAGCAGTTTATTTTACTCATTTAGCAGGCTCTGGCGTTTCGTTTTTAGTGTAATCAGTCACGTGACTGAGAAGCGTGGCTTGACGTGCGTCAAAAGTGACACAGACGGATGTAACGGAGAATCGGGTAATTTTTCAAAATAAAATAGCTTTCGTATTGCAAAATAAATACAACGGAATTAATGTAAGTTCTTATTGTGCGGTCCGGCACCAAATGCCCCGCGGTCCGCGGACCGGCGGTTAAGGACCCCTGATTTAGATGTTTCTTACCAGACCTTGAACGTCAATTAGCACTTCATATCAGTTTGAAGTTTCAGTTTTTGGTATGTAAACATCAAATCATTAAAAAGGATATACCTGTTGATCTGAAATGATGCCTGAGGTCCATCGCTTTGCTTCTGTTTGATCGGCTTTTGCCAAGTTGTTCGCAAATGAGGGATGGACATTCCCCCCAGAGGTGGATATTCCAACATAGTTTCGACAGAGCACCTGAAGCCAAATGTAACGTGTCAGCGCAAGGCTGCATGTCAACATTGGTGATGGTGGCCAAAGATGGAGGGTGCAAGTGCAGGGGGAAGCAGACTGTGCCGGAGTCAAACAAAAACAATTCATGAATGAACCCCCCGGCTTGTCCGAATAGCTTCTACATCAACAACTTTTCTTGCTTGGTCAGTTTGTCTGTCTGTCCATCTATTCATCATATCTGTACATCCACATGTGTTTACAAATGGTGCAATCAAGAGTTTTCTTTTCCAGGCCAAACTGTGCGATGCTAGCGTGAAAAGGTCAACTGGGGCTGGTGACGTTGCACCCTCCCAAACATAGCCATGGACAAAGCCCAAAATATGTCAGAGACCACCCTGCACCGC